TTTTTTGTCTTTTAAAGCAAACAAACAGGGTAGGGGTTCACCACACACAGTTATAAAAGATGTTAAAAAATGAAGCTCAAACTAAGCACAAAAAAATATTCCAAGCATAGAGAGTTACCCATCTGGATTCCCAACTAGCAGCCATGAGCATAAGAAATACTCCAAAGCCAAAGCTCTGGTTCAGTCAGAAGCAACAAAAAAGTGACAGTCTAAGCACTGGAAAGCACCCAAAATCCACCACACCAGGAGGACACAGATGGGTACTTCCGTGAAAACAGGGAGCACCAAACGTAAATGGAAGTAATCATGGTTCCATGCACTTACCTCTTCCTTCTTCTTTGGGTCTGACATGGGATTTCTGAAGAGTGGAGAATCTCCAAAGGGTGAGTAAGTCAAGCTGTTGAGCTGCTGCTGAAGGATGGCTTGTTGGGCAGCGGAAGCATTTGGGTCTGTCAGGGCTAGAACAACACCACCATTTTTTAGCATCTGAACAGTTTTAAACAGTTTCTCTGAGAACCAAGATAGAAAGAAAAGACATCATTGCAATCAGAGGATGTTCACAGAATGGTTTGGGGGGGAAGGGACCTTTCAAGGTCATTGAGCCCAACCCCCCTGCAGGGAGCAGGGACATCTGCAACTAGAGCAGGTTGCTCAGAGCCCCGGCCAACCTCGCCTGGAATGGTTCCAGGGATGGGGCAGCGACCACCTCTGGGGACAACCTGGGCCAGGGGCTCACCACCCTCAGCATCAAAATTTCTTCCTTCTCTCTAGTCTTATTTCCTGACAGAGATTCAAATTTCCATACAAATATCAGTGTCCCTTTCCCCACTCTTCAATGACCATTTCTACAGCAGTTTGAAGAAAGAAACTGGATCCGAGTCCTCCATCAGAATTTGCAGCCAGGCTCAGTAAGTTTTATCTGTGAAAATCTGAGGGTGTGGAAAACTACAAATCAGGAGGGCAAGCCTGACCTGTCTAAATGCTTGATTAGTACTTTTGACTTTGGAAACATGTTTTAAAGGGGAAAAAAAATCTCTGATGCCAAGTTTTCATACTCTTGCCCAAAACTGAAATGTGCAGAGGTGTTTCTAGACACCTCTGGTACAACAGCCTCTTAGTTTTGTCTGTCTTGTTGCATTTAATTCCCATTAAAATTGCAGAATCATTTTGCTTGGAAGAGACCTTTAAGATCACCAAGTCCACCTGTTCCCCAGCACTGCCAGGTCCCCACTGACCCATGTCCCTCAGCACCACATCTCCATGGCCTGGAAACCCCTCCAGGGATGGGGACTCCACCACTGCCCTGGGTAGCCTGGCACAGCCCTGGACAATCCTCAAAGGAGTTGGGCTCTAGACCCTTCCCCAGCAGCTTTGTTGCCCTCCTCTGGCCATGCTCCAGCCCCTCATGGTAATTCTAGGAGGGAGAGGCCCAAAAATGGACCAAATATTACTTTGAGTGTTCATAATATGAAATGTTTTGAGCAACCTAAAGCAGCTTCATTCTAGCTGCAAGAAGACCTGACTGAACCTGGGCGTTCCCAAAGAACAAAACAGCTGTAAAAAAAGCACAGCTACTGTCAGACAGTCTGCAAGGATAATAAGAGTGTAGTGGGAGACAAGTGGTTCTTCCCTGACCAAGTGCTGGTTTTACTGAGTCAATGTTAAACAGGGAGACCCTTCCATGGGTGTTGCCTTCAGAAGTGAATACCTGCATCATCTGCAGAGTTACATCAAGGACATCCAAGGACAGGAAATATGTAAGTATAATGGAAACAGGACAGCAATGTATAACTGAATAGAACACACTGATGATATGCTGATGAGTCATGGGGACAAGGCAGGTCCCCTCAAGCACAGTTTGTCTGTTTTAACTTGTAGGTGAAGTTACTCTGGGAGCCTGTTGACCCTTGTTGTGTGGCTGGGCACCACTGACAAAGAGTCTGGCCCCAGCCTCTTGCCCCTCAGGGCCCTTTAGCTCTTGCTCAGCATTGATCAGATCCCCTCTGAGGCTTCCCTTCTGCAGCTCAGCAGCCCCAGGGCTCTCAGCCTGTCCTGGCACAGAGATGCTCCAGGCCCCTCAGCAGCTTCGCACCCTCCACTGGACTCTTGCCAGTAGTCACTTGTTTCTTTGGAACTGAGGAGCCCAAAACTGGACCCAGTTCTACATCTCATACCTGGAATTACTGATGAAGCTCATGCCACATTTCCCTTCGGTTTTTCTGTTAGCACCTACCACTGCTGCCCCAAATTCAATGGTAGGAAGCATGTTAATGATCTTGAAGACAAAACTCCAAAATAGTAGCAGTTATTTGTGATGTTAAACTCTAATTACTTGTTTTGGTCCCTGCTGTGGACAGGCTGGAGAGCGTCCAGAGAAGGATGACCAAGATAATCCAAGGACTGGGAAGCTGCCAGATGGGGAAAGACTGAGACAACTAGGTACGTAGAGCATGGAAAAGAGTTCAGGGAAGACCTCACCATGTTCCAGCAGTTAAAGGGTGGCTACAAAGAAGATGGAGAATCATTCTGTACAAGGAGTCCCACAGAAAAGATGAGTGGTCATGAAGACATGTTGCTCCTGGGGAGACTCCAATTGGACACAAGAGGAAAGATTTTTCACAAGAAGAACAATCAGACATTGGAATAACCTCTGCAGGGAAGTGGTGAAGTCTCAAAGACTGGATACTTTTAAGATTCAGATGGATACAGTGCCCTGAGCCAGCCTGCATAGATAAGGCGTTGGCCAAGAAAAGCTGGACCAGATGATCCTCGAGGTCCAGCCTGTGATTTTATGATTCTATGACAATTATCACCAAAAAAATGTCATTAACATAGTCTCCAAGAACATAAGTGGCCTCAAATAGCTGCTCAAACATTTTCCCCCCTCCAAAGCACTTGGGTGGAAAGTGCTCCTACATTTAGGTCCATCTGAACCACTGGAGGACAAGGCAGTTAAACTCAGGCTCACATGCACTTACCCACAGCAGGCTGAGGGGCTCCAAAGCCCAGAGTAGCTGTTGAAGTGTTGAACCCCGGAGCTCCAAAGGCTCCTGTTCCGAGCGTTCCACCAAGCTTGGGCTGGGTGTTTCCAAACAAAGACGTCTGTCCTACCCCGAGAGCTGTGGCAGACAACCACCATTTACTACAAGACTGCGACAGACTTACAAACCAATTCATACCCCAACAAAACCTCAATTCTTTATTCAGTCTCATAAAACATTCAACACGTTCATGAATGCTACAGACACTCAAGGCTCACGTGATCAGACCAGAGACTCTGGACAGGGTGCCACAAGTTTTCCACCCTACACAATGCCGTCTACGATTCCTAAAAGGTTACTTAGCACGTTACCCAGTTCTGCGGGTTGTGATTTGAGACTAAATTTTATGCCTTCAGCCTAAAGCACCTACAGCCTCCACTGTGTTCATCAGGATTAGCACCAAAGGTGTATTACCCCTGGACTTTGAAGGCTAAGCTTAGGTTGACGTGAAATAAGCTGGTCAACTGTTTACCTGTTCCAAAGCCTGTCCCCAGTCCAGTTCCCAGAGTCCCAGTTGCTGGCTTATTTCCAAACAAACTATTCCCAGCGGTGTTGGCACCAAAACCTTCAAGAAGAGAAGCACAAGCTCATTAACCTAACATTACTCAAGATGAAATGAAAAAAATGGGTTTGCCCTCTTAAGCTTCTCAACTCATTACAAACCTCAACATTTTACTGAAAGCCAGAATGGGCACGATGACTAAAATGTATTTTTCTTCATCTGGCTGGAGAACAAATCCCACGTTATACTGTTTATACCACACACAATCTTCTCCGGTTCTTATCAACTAAACACCAAAAAAGATTTCAACAGAAGCTCTGTGAGGGAAATTTGTTTAGCTGAACCATCACTACATGTTCCTCCTGTGCAGTCTCACCATGAGTTCAACAGCAGTTCTCTAATGTTAGTCTCAGAAGCCAACACAGGACTTTGATCCTCCGCACCGTGAAAGAAAACAGCTACCAGTTAACTGGAAATATTTTGTTTAGCCCTTATTCCACAGGATACCAGCGTGGTGGTGTGGGAAGGGACCTCTGGGGATCACCTCATCCAACCCCCCTGCTCCAGCACGTCACTCACAGCAGGGTGCCCAGGATCACATCCAGGCGGGTTTGGAATCTCTCCAGAGCAGGAGACTCCACAGCCTCTCCGGGCAGCCTGCTCCAGGCTCAGGCATCCTCACCTGCTCAGGTGGAACATCCTGGGTTTCATTTGGTGCCCATTGCCCCTTGTCCTGCCACTGGGCACCACTGACAAAGAGTCTGGCCCCAGCCTCTTGTCCCCTGGGGGCCCTTTAGCTCTTGCCCAGCATTGATCAGATCCCCTCTGAGGCTTCTCTTCTGCAGCTCAGCAGCCCCAGGGCTCTCAGCCTGTCCTGGTACAGAGATGCTCCAGGCCCCTCAGCAGCTTCGCAGCCTCCACTAGACTCTCTCCAGTAGCTCCTGGTCTCTCTGGAACTGGGGAGCCCAGAACTGGACCCAGGACTCCTGAGGTGGCCTCACTGGGGCAGAGCAGAGGGGCAGGAGAACCTCCCTGACCTGGTGGCCATACACCAGAGGTAAGATCTCTTTATCCCTTCCATGAAGTTACACACATCACTGCTTTTACTCCATTTTCTTCAGTGCTCTTTTGCAACCACAGCACATTTACAGCCTCTTAAACTTCTGTATTTTCTGAATTCTTTCATTTAAGCAAGTTTCAATTACAGGTTCCACCTTCTCTTAAGCACTCGCTGGAAGAGTTGGAGTTTTACTCAACTGCCTACCTTCGAGTCAGGGAGCACCACCACGAGGTATAAAACAGCAGCCAGATGTTTCCCCATGCACCAGAGACATGGCTCACCTCAGCATCTGAGCACTGCTCACTGTTTCACACAGTAATCTGCACCCAGGTGTGTGGTATACGCAGTATAATTTTAAAGTGATTGAAATCCCAATTATTTTTTTTTCTAGAGGTACCCAACCTGGAAGTGTTTCTGTCTGTTTCTAAAGTCAGGGTTGGTTTGTTACCAAAGAGCCCGCTGCTGGTGGTTGTACCAAAGGAGGGAGCGCTGGTCGTGGCGGTTCCAAATCCAGCAGGTTTGTTCCCAAACAGGGTCTGAAAGGAAGAAAACATGAATTTGGAAACATATTTGAAGAATTCCAGCCACACTTCACTGTAGTCACGAGAGCAGAACCACATCTGAGCACAACGTAGATGCCCAACAGCAGTGGGTTAATGGCAAGCCACTGCACGAGCACAGGGCAAGGCAAACAACTCTTACAGTTGCACTCCAAGACCTCAAGGGTCTTCTCTAGCCTAAATGGTTCTGAGTTTCACTCCATTCCAACCAAAACGCTTGAATATTGAGAATTCAGTTCGGGGTTACATCATCACCAAAACTTAAACACCTATATTTTCAACACTGGGATCATCCCCCCTGGACTGGGGAGGCCACCCCTTGAATCCCAGGGTCAGTTTTGGGCCCCTCCTTCCAAGAACCACCTTGAGGGGCTGGATTATTTAATGTTGATGTTCAAAGTAGTGAAATTCGGAGCTCAAATCCTCTAAGCTATTTCTTTTTAATTTTCCTTGTTTTTCATTATGAAGATTGTGACATACCGAACTGCCAACACCAAATCCTGTGTTGGGTTGTCCAAAAAGCCCAGTTCCAGTTCCAAATCCAGTACCAGCATTCGTATTGGCAGTCGTTCCAAACAGGCCTCCAGTCTGGGAGGGTTGGGTAACCCCAAAGAGACCCTACGGACAGGAATTAGGTTCAGATAACATGGCAATAAGTCAAGTGACGTGGAAATCTGGTTAAAGCAGCATCATCACCCTTCTGCTGGGGGAAGGAGGTGGGCAAGAAAGAGGCTTTAGTCATTCACCAAGGAACTGGTTATGAAAAGGGAATTACAACAAAACATTTCTGCTCCAGAAAATTGGAATTTCTTTATCAGTTTGAGGGGCAGAAGGAAAAAACAGTTCACAGGGTTTTCTGGGAGAAATCACAACATGTTACAAAATAGTAAAGAGTTTACTTGGAGGCACAGCCCCCAGCTACACAACAAGCTCCAGCTAGAGTGTCTATCGACCAGAAAAGCCCACGAATGCTGCTCGTTAGTCACCAGGAAGTACAGAACTGTTAATGATTCCCCACAGAATGTTAATTCTGGAACTACCTGTGTGAACACGATGGGGAAATACTGGAGCTGATAGAGAGGAAGGAATGGGAAACGTTATTTGTTAAAAGCTGTTTTGCTGCCCAATCATGAAGGAAAACTGGACTGGTAAGAAGTTGCCAGCTCCGACAGCAGCATTCAAAGCTTTGCACCCTCGTGTCATGAAGCTGAGCAATGACTTGAGGAAGATCTAAATCACACTACTGCAGCCTCCACCGTCTAGCTGGAGTAGCTGGACCACAACTTACCCCTGAAGGGCTGACAACTTCTCTTACCATCGTGTTGGTGTTGGGCTGCCCCAGAGGGGTGTTCCCAAAAGAAAAGCCGGTGTTCTGTGTGGTGGTGGGTTGGCCAAAGGGTTTGTTAAACAGACTTGTTGTTTGAGAGGGTTGACCAAAAAGCCCCCCTGTGGTTCCTGTTCCAAAGCCGGTGGTACCTGCAACACAGGGGACATGGGTTAGTGGGGACCTGGCAGTGCTAGCTTAGCCGTTGGGCTTGATGATCTGTGTCACGAGCCCTGAAGTCACTGAGCATAAGGACCTGAGGGTGTTGGACAGGAGATGGTTGGAGATGAGGCAGTGCGTGCCCAGGTGGCTAACAAGGTCACCAGCATTCTGGCTTGGGTCAGCACCAGTGTGGCCAGCAGGAGAGGGCAGGGGTCATCCCCCTGGACTGGGCACTGTGAGGCTGCCCTTCAAACACTGGATTCATTTTGGGCCCCTCACTCCCAGAAAAACCTTGAGGGGCTGGATTATTTAATGTTGATGTTCAAACTAGTAAAATTTGGAGCTCAAACGCACATTTCCTCATCTTTTCTCATTGCAGAATTTAAAATAGCTTCACAGAGTATTTCCAGCCTCAGGCACAGCCAGGACTTACTGGTTCCAAAAGCAGTTTTATTCGGCCCGTAGGAAAAGCTGGTGTTGGTAGTAGAGCCAAAGAGTCCCGTGGCCGTGCTGGACGTAGCCGTGGAAGCGCCGAACAGGCTGGCAGTTGCCCCTGCTCCGACGGGGTTCGAGGGCCCCTTCCGGTTTGCCTGGTAATCTTCCAAACGGAGCTCCTAGTCAAGAGAGCCCAGAGCTCTTCACACGCTCTTGGTACACATCACACCAGCGGGATAAGGCCACACCACCGGCATGAGCACAACTACAGCGCTTTCCAGCCGACTGCAGCGCGAGGGTAGCAAGAAAAGCAGCAACACCTACATATTGGTTGGACTAGGTGGCCTTTAAACGTCCCTTCCAACTCAAACCATTGGATTATTGCATAATTGACTAATAATAAATCATGGATAACCCCATGATTTTTAAAAAGAAAGATGCCATAAATAGACCTAAAATCATGTTTGGGCTTCACTTTTACTTCCCAGAGGTTTTTCAGATCTTCTGTGCAGAGGACCTGTTTTGAACTATCAAAGAAGACAACCTGAAGGGAAAGGCTTCAGGTTAAATGTTTTTTAATATAAACAGGGGTTCCCAAACATCTGAGGTTTGCCTGGGATTTTGCCACTATCTACCATCTGTCCCTCCCTCCAAGAAGGACCTTGAGGGGCTGAAGTGTGGCCAGAGAAGGGCAACAAAGCTGCTGGGGAATGGTCTACAGACCAAGTGTGGTGAGGAG